AAATTTTTCCTGACTGCACAAAATAAAGTTCCAAATTTTGATAAAGAAAATAGTCAGAATAAATTCATTTCGATTATGGCAAACCATACTCTAGCACCAGCCTTAGCTGTCTTCTTAAAAAACAGCTATGGAACAAAACAGCAACAACTATCAGTGTATTAGGCCACATTTTGTGTTCATTCTATATTCTGTATTCACCATTGGCTGCAAATTGTCTTTATTGTTTTTGATTTGTTTTATTTTTTAAGAAAAGTTTATGTTTTCTTTTTTAGATTGTAGTTTTTTTTTTTAATTTCTTTCTGTAAGACCCTTTTTATCCTTTCCTAAGGATTTTATGCGTCTAATAAAAAAATAAAAAAAATAAAATATACAGACTGAGAGACTGTGGTTTTTGACAGATTGTCTTACAGTATTGATTAGCATACATGTATAATTGTTGATAGTTTTATTTATTTTAATGGATGAAAATGAATACAATGCATCAAAACAAAATCAAGTGTGGCTTATAATTAATACTAAAAAAAACTCGATTCAACATGAAGCTGAATTGGTCATTATGGTTCATAATTTCATTGAAATTTGTTGGTATTTTTTCCTGCCTATTATTTATAAATATGAATGTTTCTTTGTTGGGCATAGACAGGGCAAGACATCAGACAAAATATTGTTCATCTGACTTCTACCTGCATGTAATGTATTACAGACAGGACATTTTCATTTGCTGGTAGCTATTTGTTCATAATGTTTAGACATACCGACCCTGGTCTCTTATAGTCCTGGTAAATCAAAGACGTTATGGCCCTGGTTTGGACGTTCCAGCCTCAAAACAGGTTGGTCTTTACAACCATGCTATAAATTATATTCAATATTTGTTCATATCTAATGGTAATATATTGTTGGCTTGATACATTGTCACATTTCGACTTCTGTTCTTGATTTATTCACACATTTCCTATGGAACACATTCCAACAAACCACAAAAATGCGGACCCTGATCAGAACTGAAATGTCAGAAACACAACTACAAGAACCAGTTTATTTTTTTATTTACTGATACAGTAGACCAATAACACTATGTTGTCTGCCTACATAAACTGCAACATTCTTTTCCTCTGTTGATTAACGTTCTCAATTCAATACACGACAAACAACAAATGTGCATTCGAACCCTGACTGAAACAGATTGTATAAGATATGTATTCTGTGTCAGAGGGCTGCACAGGTACACGTTCACAATGTTCACAATCACTCAGGGCCATACAAACATCTGTTGCATTGTGTCAAATCATGAATGTCCTGCAAAATATGAAAAATAAGTTGTGAATAGTCAAAAGATAGTCATACATTCGTTGTACATTTAATATATGTTAACATTAGATATAAACACATAAATATAATGAATTCAATATTTTTATTTACCAGGGCTGGAATGTCCTGACACCTCCAGTTTTAATTCTCAATGAATGGTTATTTTGACAAACAACTTTTGCGACTTTTATGACAATTCAAATTGAGTTTGATTGCCTCTCATGTGTCTACCATCTATTCTTTCAACTTTATTTTTGAGCATTGCAAGTTGCAACTTGTCAATAAATTGGCACTGGCTTAAGGCTTGTAATTCTTATAGTATTACTGATTGTATTATACTGATTATAGTATTACTGATAGACGCCGACTTTACATTTTCTTTACATTTTCGACTTCTTCTTAAAAATCACAAACTGTATAGCTGTGAAACTTCCTAGGGAGGTACCTTGGGTGGTTCTCTCTCAGTTTTGTTCATTTCGTGTGAATATGTTCAATTGTCGTATTTTTGGGGAAAACTGCTAATCTTATTGCTTTGTAACTTTATTTGTAGGTACCTTGGATGAATCTGTCAGATTTGGTAATTTCATGACGATATCTTCAAATCTCTAATTTTAGTGAACATTTGTGTAATTTTTCATAAAAAATGTTATTTTCAACTTCTTGTTGCAAACCTCTTACCTGATTGCTTTGTAAATTTATTTGTAGGTACCTTGGGTGGATCTCAGTCAGATTTGGTAATTTCATGACGATATCTGTCAACATCATCAATGCTCTAATTTTAGCAAATATTTTCATCATTTTTCATCAAAAAACATATTTTTGACTTGTCCTTCAAAACCAGTAGTCCAAATTCTTTGATACTTGTACACATGCAGCTTGGATAGACCTCTATTAGATTTGTCCATTTCGTAAAGATATCTTCAATTCTCTACTTTTAGTGAAATATTCTCTGCAAGAAAATCAAGAAAGTTGGTGTCTTGTGATATTAAAGCAGCAAGCAGCAAGTTTAAATTACTTCCTAGTCATTGCTTTCAGAGCATGCATCACAAACAGCGGAACTATATCAGCCGACAGGCTGCTAGTCTTTGATAATGTTGGCAGTGAAAGTACTGTAAATAACATTCTCCATTATGTTGTTGCTGTTGCTGCTTGTCATCAGCGTGAGCGTAAATTCGGCTTTACATTTACTGTGTGAGATGTTATCACACTTCATGCGTCAAAGGTGATGTGTAGAATACTCCAGTACATTGTATATTTAATAAAAAAAAGTGTATGTGTTCCAAGAGTAATGCTGTACATATGTATGATACGTTTTAATGTTAAGATTCTTAGCTCAACAATTGAAAATAAATTTTCCTTTTCATTGAGATATTTAGCTTACAGAAGAAAATGAAAAAATCTCTAGAAAGTTGAAGAACTTAAAGAGAAAGAATAACAGTCTCGAAAAGCAGTTGACAGAAATTAACGATAAAGTGAAACTTGAGAAAGTGCTGAAACAATATGTGACAACAAGAGAGTATGTATTGAGTCTGTTAATATATCTACATTGACCTTAGGTCAAATAAAATAAATGGTGCATTTCTTGTATTCAAACTTGTTGCTTTTTGACCCTACTTCAATGTACTTGTAGTGTATTTTTTTGTAACCAAACTGAAAAGGGTGCTCACTTCCTGTTCCTAATTGTATTCTCGATCAGTTCAACAACTTATGAAGTACATGTACACTATAATTTAATATTCTTTTGAAAAATGCTCCCAAAATATACAAATAGCAGTTTGGATTAAGAACCTGCACAGCACCATCCTGTGGATGTTTATAAGCTGATCATATGCAAAGATCATAAGACAATGATACAAGTGCAAAAGTATATTATAAAAATGAATCCTATTTGGTTCTTCAATATTACCAGAAACACACTGCTGTATTTACGCTATCAGAAGCACAACCCCAATAGAAGCACATATAAACCAACAGTATTGTTCTAAATCGTGAAAAGTATTAATTATTCTGACCATAGACACACATCTGTCATTTATGTAAGTGTATGTGATACTAATAGATGAAATACAGTATTTATTTATAATATAAAAAATATAATGAAAAATGGACTATTAGAAAACTATTAAAAACTGTGAAAAATATTTGTTTTCCCTTCACTTAGTTTTGTGTTAATTTGTTCAGCACTGTGTGAAATATTTGTACCCTAAGTAAGACTTAGTTTTGTGTTAATTTGTTCAGCACTGTGTGAAAGTAAGACTTAGTTTTGTGTTAATTTGTTCAGCACTGTGTGAAAGTAAGACTTAGTTTTGTGTTAATTTGTTCAGCACTGTGTGAAAGTAAGACTTAGTTTTGTGTTAATTTGTTCAGCACTGTGTGAAAGTAAGACTTAGTTTTGTGTTAATTTGTTCAGCACTGTGTGAAAGTAAGACTAAAAAGGGCAAAATAGTGCACAAACTGCCAAATTTTGTTTTTTGTCCACTGAGTTTTGCATTTCAATTGAACTTTACAGCTCTGCAATGCAGACTGACCCACCTGGCTATCATCCATACTCAAGGCCAATCAAACAAGCAACCACACAGAAACAGGAAAAGCATGGTGAAGAAACGGCTAGAATTAATAAGTAAGTTTGATAGTTTTTCCTATCATTGTCAGAAACCCATGTATGTTGCCTTAATTATGACTCTGCCTTTCAACAAACATGTGATGGCTGAATAAATGAACCTTGGTTGACAAAGATGATTATCTTGTACATTTAAAGTGCCTGTGCAATGCCCACCCTCACGTTTCCCATTTTAGATCTGTGTCCCACTGAAATGGGCAGTTATTGATTTTTTTGCTGAAAATGATTACTCGTATCCAAGGAAATTTGAGATATTTCTCGTGTTGTAGCCACGCCCACCTATCCTGAAACGATCGACTGTTTCAGGATTTCCGACTCTCGCCGAAAGTGCGCCACCAAATGGCAAAATGTGAGAGGAAGTCATACCCCTGAGCCTAATAACACTGGTCATTCAGTATACTTTTAAATGATATACATTTTTCGGTCGGCTTTTTTTTTTTGTCTATTTTTTTTTTTTTTTTTTTTTGAAGAGAGAGTTTTTAAGATGTTGTGTTATGGGCAGTTGCAGTGAAACGTATAGTCATAGTATAAGTATTCACACGTTTCTAATCGATCCGAAAGTGCGACATCAGTCATGGACCTTCCATGCATCAGTGGACGAAAGCCACTTAACCTCAGCTTCTTTTTTTTTGGAAAAACTGTCCTCGTCCATGAAAAAAACAACTAGGTTTAAAGAGAAACGCCGACAACATAAACCTGGCGCAACACTTTT